CGGACGCCAAGGGTAGGCGACGGCTAGCGCACCACACCCCTCTCCTTAAAATCCCTGTGTGGTGGCGGCGTGCCGTCCTCCCATCCCTCCCTTGGGTTGTTCGTTTTCTTTCTTTCTTTCTTTACCAAGTGTCGCACAAGCATGCGCACAAGCCACAACACACCAAAAATCTCTCTCACAAGCACAGAGACAGTCGAGTCGAGGAGAGACAGCGACGACATCAAAAGAAACGCAGAGTCCAGTCGTACTGTCGTCCTTCCAAGATGCTTGCTCTGCGAGTTGGGGACCCGTCCTTCTCCCACATTGTACATCTCCATGCCCACATCCCTCGTTTGTATTGACGTGCCGCCGTCGCTTCCTTTCTTTTCACCCGGGACGGGCCTCTTGGTGCTTGCTCTTCCTATCCAGAGGCGATTGCGAGGGCATTACGGAGGTCATCATCGGCGCCAACGACCGCGATATGTCCGGACCCGCAGACCTCATGCACCAGGGTCATGGGTACAGTCATAATATGTAGGCCTTCTCTCCCACAGTTTTGAGCAATAGCCGCAAACTCAACGCTTTTTGGGGCTGGGGGGGGCACTTTCTTGCCCCATGCGCCATGGCGAGCATCGTGACAAGAGGTCACCCGCGAGGGGACCGGCTCTCCGGCTCCGTGTGTGTGTCGCCGTTCTCAGTGTCCGTTCACCACTGTATGTGTTTGTCCTGGAAAAACACGGCTCGACACGAGCAAACGTACAGACATGATGGACATGAAACGACATGCACATGCCCCCACCACAGTCAGAACTCTGGCTAACATACACCTACCTACACCGAGCTGCTCCCCAAGCGGGGGCTCTCCCGCTTTCGTCGGCGCATCAGGTCACCCGATGATGAGCCCGCCTCACTGGTCTTTCGGAGCACGGTGCCCAGCAGCGAGTGGCTCCTGACGGGCCGCCGGATCAGGAGGTCGAGCTCGTCCAGCAGCAGCCTCAGCGAGACCGCATAGTGCCGCCCGCCGTGCAGGGCTGTCGCGATGCGCCGGTACGCGCCGGCCGTCCTGAGCCCCTCCGGTGTCGCGACGATGATCTCGTCGAACGTGAGCCGGCGCCAGCCGTCGCGCCGCTCGTGCGCCAGCAGCAGCCCGGTGCCCGCCTCCAGCGCCGCCTCCAGCTCGCTGACGAGCGTGTCGGCGCGCGCCCCCGGCGCGAAAGTTTCGGCGTTCAGGTAGAGCAAAAACGCGGCGCAGGCATCGTGGCGAAGGTGCTCCGGTTCGGCCGTTGTCCGCAGCCCCGAGTGGTTCGGCGACACAAACTGCGCCTCCAAATCGGCGGCGATCGCGGCCGCACACGGATTGCTGGCCGAATGGTAGAGGTGATAGCAGCGCTTTGTCTGAAGCTGCGGCAGCGGGCTGCTGCGCAGCCTGTCCTCGGGGATGAAGATGGTACGGTCCGCGCCCGGAGCACCCCACGCAGTCACCAGCTGCTGAATC